TCCTATCAAAGTACCATCCATTTTTTTTCAAAGAAATGGAACAAATAATCCTAAAATTTATATGGAACCAGAAAAGACCGCAAATAGCCAAAGGAATATTGAAAAAGAAAGCCAAAGTTGGTGGCATCACAATTCCGGACTTCAAGCTCTATTACAAAGCTGTCATCATCAAGACAGCATGGTACTGGCACAAAAACAGACACATAGATCAATGGAACAGAATAGGGAGCCCAGAAATAGACCCTCAACTCTATGGTCAACTAATCTTCGACAAAGCAGGAAAGAATGTCCAATGGAAAAAAGACAGCCTCTTCAATAAATGGTGTTGGGAAAATTGGACAGCCACATGCAGAAAAATGAAATTGGATCATTTCCTTACACCACACACGAAAATAGACTCAAAATGGATGAAGGACCTCAATGTGAGAAAGGAATCCATCAAAATCCTTGAGGAGAACACAGGCAGCAACCTCTTTGACCTCAGCCGCAGCAACATCTTCCTAGGAACATCGCCAAAGGCAAGGGAAGCAAGGGCAAAAATGAACTATTGGGATTTTATCAAGATCAAAAGCTTTTGCACAGCAAAGGAAACAGTTCACAAAACCAAAAGACAACTGACAGAATGGGAGAAGATATTTGCAAACGACATATCAGATAAAGGGCTAGTGTCCAGAATCTATAAAGAACTTAGCAAACTCAACACCCAAAGAACAAAAAATCCAATCAAGAAATGGGCAGAAGACATGAACAGACATTTCTGCAAAGAAGACATCCAGATGGCCAACAGACACATGAAAAAGTGCTCCATATCACTCGGCATCAGGGAAATACAAATCAAAACCACAATGAGATACCACCTCACACCAGTCAGAATGGCTAAAATTAACAGGTCCGGAAATGACAGATGCTGGCGAGGATGCGGAGAAAGGGGAACCCTCCTACACTGTTGGTGGGAATGCAAGCTGGTGCAACCACTCTGGAAAACAGCATGGAGGTTCCTCAAAATGTTGAAAATAGAACTACCCTATGACCCAGTAATTGCACTGCTGGGTATTTACCCTAAAGATACAAACGTAGTGATCCAAAGGGGCACGTGCACCCGAATGTTTATAGCAGCAATGTCTACAATAGCCAAACTATGGAAAGAACCTAGATGTCCATCAACAGACGAATGGATAAAGAAGATGTGGTATATATATACAATGGAATACTATGCAGCCATCAAAAGAAATGAAATCTTGCCATTTGCGACGACATGGATGGAACTAGAGGGTATCATGCTTAGCGAAATAAAGCAGTCAGAGAAAGACAACTATCATATGATCTCCCTGATATGAGGGAGAGGACATGCAACATGGGGGGTTAATGGGGTAGGAGAAGAGTAAATGAAACAAGTTGGGATTGGGAGGGAGACAAACCATAAGTGACTCTTAATCTCACAAAACAAACTGAGGGTTGCTGGGGGGAGGGGGGTTGGGAGGGGGGGTGGGGTTATGGACATTGGGTAGGGTATGTGCTATGGTGAGTGCTGTGAAGTGTGTAAACCTGGAGATTCACAGACCTGTACCCCTGGGGGAAAAAAAAATATATGTTTATAAAAAATAAAATTAAAAAAAAAATTCTAAGGGTCAGAAGATTTTTAGAATTCAGAATGTTTTGCTCTAGAAAGGTACTATAGCCATATACCATGTACTATGTGACACCTCAGAAGTGTCTAAGCAATGACGTCCCCAACTCTATCACACTGGTACTTTTGCAGTAAAAATTGTGCAGACTCTCTCAACTGAAAAAGAATATAAATAGCCTCATCTCAGTTCGGGTCAAGTATGACCATCCAATGAGCTTCAGCACCAAACCTAGCATAAAATTTTTTTTTTGATTTTTCAGAGCTTTCAGATTTCAGAATTAAGATTTCAGAATTAAATACAGAATTTCAGAATAATAAAAATTCCATGTCAATTACCAAGAAATCCATCCTCCCTGAACTTTAAAGGTATATTAAAGTACCAAAGAATATAGAAAAGTCTGTTTCCTCCCGTCATACACATGCTCAATAAAGTAATCCCATCGAAAACAAGAAATCTGGAAAGGTCAGGTCTCTGACCAGATGAAACACTCAGAAACATAATAACCAGATTAGGGAAACATTTTTAAAGTAGCCAAACACTGCAGCTTAAAAAAAAAAAAAGTGTGAAAAACCATCCCAAACTTTCAGTGCAGGTGAATATGATTAATAAAGTATGGAAAATCCCATAAATCAGCTTTGAACTACTATCAGAAAATGTGCTACAAGAAAGAAACAATCCCATCTCACGCTGCAGTTTCAACTGCTCACTTGGACTACAATTCTGAGTTACTTCAAGGGAGGGGAATGGTCATCAAAGTCACCGTTCTGTCACTTGGAGGGGTCGCAGCCATATATGCTCTGTCTCACAGACATAGAACAGTTTGATATTTCCTCTCCAAATAACTCAGGGCACTAAGAGCACAGAGCAACCATGCGGCCACCATCACATGCCAGCGCCGCTCTCTCCAGGGGGGCAGAAACACACCAGAAGCAGCTTTTCACACAATCCCATCCCTTACAGACTTGAAACAAAGACACAAACATAGGTAAACTGCGCAAGGGTATGAGGCCCAAGCATCCTAAGAGGTACGCTGTGCGCATGCCAGGTGGGGAAAGCAGAGTGTCTCTACACTCCTGTAAACTACACACGCTCTGGTGACAACCTGAGCAGCTGTGGGAACTCCGGAGTTACACAGTGGTATCTGGGGCAGAACCGGTGAGCAGGGGCAAATCTTTACACTCACTTTGTGAGAAGTGTGAGACCTGCCACAAGCTTTACTTATTAGCAGACACTCAAGTCTTTCTTCATTTCAACTCATCCAACACCCCTCAAAAACCCGCAACATATCAAAGCACAAGCTGGACAAGGAGAACGAACACAAGCACAGAAATGAACATGTGGCCACCGGGAGTCAAAGCAGTAAGACAGTGACTCAGGAGGCAGAATCTAGAAACGTCCTGCCATGGGCATGTCTCGGTGTTGTGTTTTCAGATGAGAGACAGATATGCTGCTGCTGCCCACCTAAGCCACACTAAAACATAACTGACAGGAAGAATCACTCTGAATGACTGGCAGCAACAACCACTGAAAAATGAGACCAGAACCTGTGTGAGTCTTTATTTACACAGTTAAGTTATATAATGTCATTTTTAATAAGCATTCAGCAAAAAAACAGACACATAACCAAAACTAGTAAGAAATTTGGTTGCTCCTTATGAACCCAAGAGCTAAACATTTTAAAACACAAAAGCTATTTAGTCAATTCACTGATAATAATCGAACTTGTGCAATGTGGACAACCACTGATCAAACAGTTAAATCAACGTGGCATCACTGAAATTCTGGATTCCTTTGTATCTAAGACAGAAATCCAAGATATGACCAGGGAGTCAAATGAATCCATATGTAAAATGAACATTCTGAAATACAGGAATGCTCTGAAATACTAACACTGATCAACTTCTTTGTCGCTGTAACACGGCATGCTTTTGAAAAAGAAAAGTTCAAATATATTGTTTTCTAAAGGAAATAAAGTAAAAAAAAAAAAAAGGGTGACCACTGCATATAAGACTAATGAATCACTGACCTCTGTCTCTGAAACCAATTAATACATTATATGTTAATTGAACTTATTTTTAAAAAAGGTGACCATTCATTGCACTATTGCCCCTATAGCTGTCGTCTACAATGTACACAGAGAGAGACACTAGTATGTATGTGCCAACAGGGCTTTAGGCAGCCTCTTAGGATTGTGACAAAGAATATATTGCCTTTTCTTAACTCTAGATTGATTATCAAAATAGTAATCTTCTAATTTACATATAATTTCTCAGCATCCTCTAGAAAAATGTTTTCTCTAAAATAATGCCCACCTTCCAATTACACTGAACGCAGTTCTTCCACTACCCACTACCTTCCTTTGGCCAAGCAGCTTCTCTACATCCTCATGTCTGTAGATGACGTCTCAGATGTCCCGAGCACAGACTACTTGATCACCAGCTAACATTCTTTTTCTTTTTAAATCCTTAATCCACTGTAGTTGCATGATCGAAACAGAATTAAAATGATGCACATACTCTTAAAGAAGTTCTTCCACGTATTAAGTTAAACTACAATCTATTACAGACATAAACTAAGAATTTTTCCTATTAAATTATTTTGATTCAATTGTTTCTCACTTAAAAAGTAATAATTCTACCTATTACATAGGTCTTACTGAAATGGTTGAGAACTGAATGTATCCATCTCATACCAGTAATCTTACTAAAGATATTTCTACGAATGTTTCTGAAGTTTTACTAAATGAATTAAACAAATGACTAACCCAACAAAATTTTCCATAACGTCCTAGTGTTTTCAGGGGTGCCTGGGTGGCTCAGTTGGTTAAGTGTCTGCCTTTGGCTTAGGTCATGATCCCAGGGTCCTGGGACTGAGCCCTGCATCGGGTTCTGTGTTCAGTGTGAAGTTTGCTTCTCCCTCTCTCTGCCCTTACCCCTGCTCATGCGCACATACATGTGCTCTAATTCTCTCAAATAAATAAAACCTTTAAGAAAAAATGTCCTAGGTTTAAATATGGTATCATGAAAGGCTTGGCACAACACGCAGGAGGGTAATAAACTACCAATTTATAGTTAAATTCAAAACACATATCAACTAATGTTCATCTACATTTAATAGTACATTGCCTTGCCCTCTCAAAACCCAAATTTTCTCATTTTTCCTTTACTTAAGAAAATCAAGGGCAAACAATAAGCTGTTTTAGACGCCAAAGACATTAATTAGAACTCCTTCCAAAAGGTTTACTTTGGGTTTTGGAATTGTTTTTTTAAAATCTTCCTAGCATATACCCAAATGTGTAAGCACACATACAGACACGCACGCACGTAAGAAAAGCCAAAGTTCTCACAGAGTGGGCCCAAGTAACTCACTTACCTTGTCTCAGGGTTGTAGCCTAATATGTAGAAAAATGAATCCACTCGAGCTTTAAACTCTCTAGCAGCAAATATGTCAGAAAAGTGGGAGATGTTACACTTCCCTCTGAAAACAAACAAGCATAAAAAATACATTAGTATCATCATCAACTACTTTGCAAACCAATATGCTACTGGAGGGACAGAGGCAGGGGAAGATAGAACTAAATCCACATTCTTCTAAAAACATGCAGAATATGGCTCCAGACTCCATAATTACCAATTCAGAAAATGGAGAGCTCCCAAAACATGTAAGAAAATGTCCAAATGTTGTATTTTTTTTTGTTTCAAGACTTCTTCAACCTACAATTTCACAACTCAACTGCATTTACCTCAGCATTTTAGTCATGGAATAGAATTAATTAAACCACAGAGGTAAATTGAGGGCAGGGCTGTGATGAAAGGATATTAAACTAGGAACGACAGGAAAAATCTAAACCACAGTTAAATTACTTTACCAAAAAAAAAAATCTGCCTAAAGCCCTTCTAAATCTTCAAAACAAAATGGGCTTTTCTTCCTCTTACTTTACTATAGACAGAACGTAAATCTGTCAAATATTTTTCTTCTCTCTTTTAATGTGCAAAAAATAAAACAACTTGGAACTTAAAACTGGAGAGACTTTAACTTTTTAAATACATAGATGGGGCTCTAACAGATAAACATCCACTTCCCAAATTTTCAGGTCATGTTAAATAACCATAAGTTGGAAAATGCCTTCTCACAGAAATATTGCAATAAAAAGAACAGTAATATTTCCAGATCCATCTACCAACAATTTAAACTGCAATACAGGGGTGCCTGGGTGGCTCAGTGGGTTAAAGCCTCTGCCTTCGGCTCGGGTCATGATCCCGGGGTTCTGGGATGGAGCCCCACATGGGGCTCTCTGCTCAGCAGGGAGCCTGCTTCCTCCTCTCTCTCTGCCTGCCTCTCTGCCTGCTTGTGATCTCTGTCAAATAAATAAATAAAATCTTTAAAAAAATAAATAAATAAACCGCAATATAGCTGAAAACTCTGTAATACAACCAAAGTCCTTGAAACACACACACACACACACACGTGTGCGCGCACGCATTGGGAGAATTTCCAGGGTTCCCAAAGAGGCAGGGAGGTTTTAAGCAATTCCCTCAGTGGTCACAGAAAGTAACTAACATCAAGTGGAAGTCAAGGGCTGTGAGTAGAGCAGATGGAACTGGAGAATCAACAGCACATCGGCTGCACACGTGGGAAGCTTCCAGGGGAATGAATTCCTACCACTTCACTTCCACAGGCATTCCGTTCCCTTGAGGACTCCATGAGTTGGCACATTAATAACATACACACCAGCTAATGACCAAGGTGTGAGAGAAAGAGACTAGCTGAGGGACAGCAACCTGGGGACGACATTCATTTGCTTCCTATGAAGAAACAAAAAGAGCAACGCACTCCTTTTCCACAGAGCCAAGCCTTAGTAATGGGCAGAAACTAAGATGGGGCTCAACCTCCATTTTAAAAATTAAACAAAAATGCTTTTGATTTATTGAAGCTCCTTTGAGGACTACTTGATAACATAATGCAGCGCTGTTGAGCACTTGAAATGTGTCTGGCCCAACTGCAGAGAACTGGATTTTAAATTTTATTTAATTTTAATTAATGTAAATTTAAATAGCCACATATGCTGGTAGCTACCATCCTGAAGAGCACAGATTTATGTAACATTTCCAACACCACAGAAAGTTCCACTGGAAGCACTGATTTGTAAGTAACAAGATATAGCTAAAGGGAAACAAGGACTAGGAATCAATTTTTGCAGGCCAAGGACTTATACCTAGTATGTAGCTGGAACTAAACCGAGCTTCTAGAAAAGAAAAAGCAGGTAAGGTTACAGATGAACAAACAATGCACTCACTCTGAAACTAACTACCCATCAGTCTGATGTCATTTAGTCCCTAAAACCTAGAAAAAATAGGTTAAGTTCCTTCATCAGCTAAACAGGGATAAGAAAACCTGTTATACCCATCTCATATTAAGGAGATAAATAAGAAGTCTATGAAACTTTATACCGAACTGCTACACAAATTAAGTTATTTCCATCATTGTCTATAACTAGAGGAAAGTGATTCCTCTTTGACTGGTCTTCATCATTACTTACATGCACGTACACCCTATCAATGTATTCATTAAAGGGAGAGAAACCCTACCAACCCACAAATCTAAAACAGGCACTGGAAAACAGATACGTTTTGTTCAGGAAAGGGTTTCTCAGTCTCAGCACTACTGACATTCTGGACTAAATAACTTGTTGTTGTCAGGGGCTGTCCTGTACTTAGCAGTATCCTTGGATACAGTACCCCACTGCAGCCACACACATCATCATGACAATCAAAAATGTCTAAAGACATCACCAAATGTTCCATGGGGACAGCAACACAACTGGTTTAGGGAAAGCCAGACGCTGCAGGAACAGAAGCATATCATCTGGTAAATGAGCATGAAACTGTAATAAAGGCACTGATTTTTATATGTTAATTTTATATCCTGCTGACTGAATTCTTTAATATTTAATACAGTTTAATCATTGGTTTTCTGAGGTTTTCCAGTTATATTATCTGTTGTCTGCAAATAAACATAGTTTTACAACTTTTTTACTCTTTATTTTTTTTAAAGATTTATTTACTTGAGCAAGAGAGACAGAGAGCACAAGCAGAGGAAGCAACAGAAGGAGAGGGAGAAGCCCACTCTTCGCTGAATGGGACCCACACATGGGGCTCAATCCCAGGACCTGGAGATCATGACCTGAGCCAAAGACAGAAGCTTAACTATCTGAGCCAGCCGAGACCCCCTTTTTTACTCCTTCTTATGTGTTGAATTGCACTGACCCTCTCAAATAATGTGGACAGTAATGGAAACAAGTGGACACCCTTGCCTTGTTCCTGGTGGAAATGTCTCTCAGGTGTTACTATTAAATATGATATTTAATAGTAATAATAGTATATATATATAATATATATAATAAATATCATATTAAATATGATACTAGCTTTAGAAATAATCACTGCTTTAGAGTTATGGGGTTTTGTATCCCTTTAGATATAACAATATGGTATACAATATTAAGCAGAGTCTCTAATAATAAACCTACCTTACATTCCTGGAATAAATCCCAATTGGTCATAATATCATTTTTAATGAGATACTAAAATTTTAAAGGATTTGATTAATTAGATTTAATGTTTTTCTCTTCGTTAATTTCTATTTTTATTTCTATTTTCCTTCTTTGTGTTTATTTGCTGTATAACAGCTTTTATTCATACTAGCCTAGAAATAATCCAAATGCCCATCAATAAGGAAATGGGTAAAGTATCATTATATACTTGTAAAGTGAAATACTTCACAAAAATACAAAGGAAAGAAGTACTGATAAACAGCACATCTCAAAAAGTCTCAAATATTAAAATGCTGAGTGAAAGTAGCCAGGCACACAAATGGCACATACTGCATGATTCCATTTCTAGTGAATGAATTTCTACAACAGCCAAAACGAATTTACGTGAGAGAAATCAGAATAATGGTTGCTTCTGGGTGAGAAGTTTTAAGAGGAGAGTAGTTTAAGAGAACTTTCTGGGATGCTAGTGTTCAGGGTCAAATTTGTCAAAATTCATGAAAATACAAACTTAAGGTGTGTTTTACTTATAAATATTTTCAAAGTACCAGGGGAAAATAAAACAGCAAGTGTCACTAGCATGTAAGTACGGCTGTTTAAAGTTGCTGTTCCTGGGCTACCTGGGCGGCTCAGTGGGTTCAGCATCCAACTCTTGTTTCAGCGCGGGTCCTCAGATGGAGCCCGCGTCAGAATCCATGCTCAGTGTGGAGTCTGCTTATCCCTCCCCCGACCACCGCTCGCTCTCTCTCGCTCTCTCTCACAAATAAATAAATAAATAATATGTTTTTAAAAAATAAAGTTGTCCGTCCGTGGCCCTAACTTGTCAATAAAAGTGATGTTTCTGTTAAAAAAAAAAAAAAGTTGCTGTTCTTGGCAGTTAATGAGCCATCCTTTACACAGCCCTGAGTACTAAGCAGAGCTGACAAGAGAGTAGGCAAGTCCACTATGGTTGGCATCCATTTTGAAATATTTTTCATGTCACCTGTTGCTGAAGAGTAGAGCTTACAAAGACTAGAGATCACATTTTTTAAAAAATGATTTTATTTATTTATTTGACAGACAGAGATCACAAGCAGGCAGAGAGGCAGGCAGAGAGAGAGAGAGAGAGGAGGAAGCAGGCTCACCAGCGAGCAGAGAGCCTGATGCGGGGCTCGATCCCAGGACCCGAGATCATGACCTGAGCTGAAGGCAGAGGCTTTAACCCGCTGAGCCACCCAGGCACCCCTAGAGATTACATTTTAAAAGTACGTGCTTGAGTATCATTTTAAGCATTCAATTTTTTTTCTCTCCAAAGCACTCTTTTCATCTGCTCTCTCAAAGGCAGTACACTATTTGACGGTGTTTGTGGAATGAAGGAGGAGAGACTGTTAAGAGAAAACTGCCACCACTCTCACCTTGCTGAAATATCGTTTCAAAGCCTCCACGGTCCTATGCGCCGTATTTCTAATGGGATCCTTCACTGTTAACAGAAATAGGACTAAAGACTGGGAAGGGCCCTATTTAAGGGGACTTGCATTCATCAGAAATAAAGGCTTCCTGCTGGACTCATTTTGGTGTAACTTGGTATTTCTTGGTGTGGTGCCCCACACTCCCACCCTGGGCACAGCACCATTTGACAAGCGCCCCAACTGGTGGGAGGCAGTGATCGAAGGGGATGAAGGAGCAGGGAAAGAACCACCTTACACAGGAGAAAACAGAAACAGAAATATGGCCCAGAAATTCATTCCATCAAAACTACCCATTACTGGGAAAGTCTCTGTAGATTCCCAGGCACATGCAAACCTTGGAGAAACTTGCCAAGAAGCGCACAGGCAACGCATGGAATGCTCAGAGCAGGAGGCCTGCCTAGAGCATCAGTCGCCACCCCTGCCTGAACACGGTGGGAAGGAAAGGTCTTGAGAAGGGAAGGGAAGGTCTTGAGACAGAG